ACAAGAGGAGACTGAGGAGTTAGAACAAGAGGAGACTGAGGAGTTAAGACAAGAGGAGACTGAGGAGTTAGAACAAGAGGAGACTGAGGAGTTAAGACAAGAGGAGACTGAGGAGTTAAGACTAGAGGAGACTGAGGAGTTAAGACTAGAGGAGACTGAGGAGTTAAGACAAGAGGAGACTGAGGAGTTAAGACTAGAGGAGACTGAGGAGTTAAGACTAGAGGAGACTGAGGAGTTAAGACAAGAGGAGACTGAGGAGTTAAGACAAGAGGAGACTGAGGAGTTAAGACAAGAGGAGACTGAGGAGTTAAAACAAGAGGAGACTGAGGAGTTAAGACAAGAGGAGACTGAGGAGTTAAGACTAGAGGAGACTGAGGAGTTAAGACAAGAGGAGACTGAGGAGTTAAGACAAGAGGAGACTGAGGAGTTAAAACAAGAGGAGACTGAGGAGTTAAGACAAGAGGAGACTGAGGAGTTAAGACAAGAGGAGACTGAGGAGTTAAGACAAGAGGAGACTGAGGAGTTAAGACTAGAGGAGACTGAGGAGTTAAGACAAGAGGAGACTGAGGAGTTAAGACTAGAGGAGACTGAGGAGTTAGAACAAGAGGAGACTGAGGAGTTAAGACTAGAGGAGACTGAGGAGTTAAGACAGAGGAGACTGAGGAGTTAAGACAGAGGAGACTGAGGAGTTAAGACTAGAGGAGACTGAGGAGTTAAGACAAGAGGAGACTGAGGAGTTAAGACAAGAGGAGACTGAGGAGTTAAGACTAGAGGAGACTGGGAGAGCGGGAGACACAAGGGGAGTCCTGGAATGAAACAGGTGAGTGTCAAAGGGAGACAATACGAACATTAACCGAACAAAAACATGAAACATGACCGTTAACGTACGTTTGAAAGGAAACTTCGTGCACCCGGCCTCAGACGAGAGTCAACGTTGATTTACTATGTATGTTGTCAAGTCTTCTTCTTGTTCTTCGTTGATCAAAAACAGAGAGGAGCTACTGTTAAATGTATTGATGCTGCTTTTTACTGTATGTATTGATGTGCAGCCCTTTGGTCACTCTTCTGTTTAATGTGCTGTGTAAATAAAGTTGGATTGGATCTGTCCCCTGCACCCTGTTCCTCCAGAGGACCACCGGGACTCAGCCGGATCTCTTCGGGCTCTGCAGGAAGACGGGATCGGAGGATGAATCAAATAAATAACGCCTCTCAGCTGATTCCTCCCAGATGTTGGAGTCTGCTCTGATTCCTCTGCGGGACACCAGAGCCTGCGGAGAAGCAGAGTTCAAGTTTTACGGCTTTCATCGGAGGCTTGCAGCTGCAGAGTTTTACATTTCAACAGTTTCTCACCGTGAGTCTGTGAGTAAGGGAAGTCAGGCTTACTGCGATACAGCTGGATGGAGACATGTCATTATTTATCCTGCAGGGCTTTGCAGAAAGCCTTTTCCTCCCAAACTCAACAACTTCACATTTCAGCGTCGCACGGTCAGAGGAGATTTCCACAGAACAGCAGGAACTACATTATTCTCTGAGGTCTTTATTTCCTCCAACAGGGGATTGTATTGTTTCATTTAAACATTTGGAAACACTTGGATGGGGAAGGAAACTTTCAACTTCAGAGCTGATCCAAATGAAGCTGCAGAAATATCCACCTTTTGGAAAGGATGTGAGCAAGGTGTGAGGGTCCTTCAGTGGGAGGGTGGTCCCACTCCTTTAGATTCATAAACAGAGTCATTATTATCCTGATGGCCCATCATTCGGAACGTTTACCAACAGTTCTTACAAACCCTGACACTCTTTGATGACCTGTTTTCCCACGCCCGATAGTCTGAAAGTCAAGGAAACCAAGTCAAAACCTTTTGGGAACATTTCCTGCCTGACAAGCAATCTCCCACAAAGCGTGAGCTAATCAGTGAACCGTCAACAATAGGGACTGTAAGGCGGTCGTCGTGCGCCTCGTCCTGCAGTTTATTTTAAGGGATGTTGGCATTAATTAAGTGAAGATAGAGTTACAGTGAGGTTATTTTAAAGACACGAGTGTGTACCCGAGCTGGAACAGAATGGAGACACAACTGACTGTGAGTTATTCTTTATGTTCCAGGAGGGAAAGGGTTCGCTCATCAACCTGCAGCTTCACGCGTCAGTGCTGAGGAGTTAAGACAAGAGGAGACTGAGGAGTTAAGACAAGAGGAGACTGAGGAGTGAAGACTAGAGGAACAA